CTGTGTGTGCGTGCGTGCGTGTGCGTGAATTATATTTTATCTACTTACGTTGAATTTAACGCCACTCTTTTTTCCGCGTGTATAAACGTTGTTTAAGTGACACTCATAACGTCAGGCATAATTAATCATCGTTACGCAAAATTACCTTACGCGTCCTCCCTTTTTTTTCCCGCACGACGCTTTCAATTAAATCTTATCACTTCCGCGCGTCGAGTGATGCAACGCGCGTATAACGTAAATATAGCGCGGAGTGCGTCTCGTAAAATTGTAACGGCGGTTAAAATTAATGACAAGCCGTGTATACAATTCGAACAATGGGGGTGAAAACGCGCGCGGAAAGTAGCAGTCGGATAACGTCGCGAGATAGATGGAAATCTGTTCCCTCCTTCGCCCCCTGCCCCATCCTTGCTGCGAATGTTTGTCAGTTCTGCCTTTGTAATCACTGTTTGCAGAAAGTTGTCACTACCTCTCCCCCAGGTGAGAATGCCCGCGACAAGTTCCGGATAAGAGAGGCGTCGCGCGCGGAACAAGTTTTGGAACAAGGAGATTACACGCTCGAGCTTTGAAGTCCCTCCCCGAGAAACGCGGGGAGAGGACAAAGAGGTTGAGAAGGGGCGGCGAGGGGTGTGTGTGTGTGTGCTCGTGAGGACGTAACGCACGTGAGGAAAGAGAGAAAGAGAGAAGCAGAGAGAAAAGCCAGATGAGATAAATGAAGATGGGGTCGAAAAGAAAGGGGGAGAGCGTAAATCGGTGGGACTAAATAGAGAAGGAGGGTCGTTACTCTTACTCTACGTCGGGAGGTAAATCACCGCGAGTTAATGACTTGCGAAGTTTTAATTGATGCGCTATAATGGAACTATGTAATGCGCCGCGCTGGGCGAAATAACGCGAGTAATCTTATTTCCGATACTTCACACTTGAGGTTTTCGGGCCACACCGGGACGAAGTTTCGAACGCGCGGACGAATAAAAATTAGAGGAAGGACGGTTACAGCGAGAGGTGAGATAAATGAAGATGGAAAACGAGGGCGGGGTGGAGGGGGGAAGGGAGACAATAAAGTGGTTGTGTGCGAAATTGGATAGTACAAACGGGAGGGAGGGAAAAAGTCTATTCCTTCAGCTCGGGCAACGCCGAGCAAGATGGATGTGTAGCACATCACAATCCATCCTTTTTCCCGAAAATTGTAACATATCGTTACCTACGAATGGTTGATTGTTTAATTAATTAAGCCACGTAATCCTCTGGCGCGTAATTCTATTGTAACGTTATGCTATTATCGCGCGTGTAACTGTTAATCCCAGGAGTGTAATACAATGTGTTTAACACCAGGAACGCAGCGCGATCTCCGAAAACACGTAGGATAAACGCAAAATTAAGCAACGTTGAACTACTCTCGCGTTTCCCCGCGAGCAGACAATCTCACATTTTCTACAGAGGTAAATTATCTTAAATTATTTAATTAAAGCTTTTTCAACAGATTTCAGAATGGTAATAAAATGTTCCCGCGTTGGGGTGTTAAATTCCTTGGAGCAATATGGGATTATTGATCGTTCTCGATGAAGATTTGGGATGGCAATCGTCATTTGTCAAAAATTTCCAATTTTCAATAACAGGACAGATCCAATGATCAAGTTTGAAACGAAGATTCCTGTTAAAGTTTCGGAGTTGAAATTAACCGGAGAATATGATCTCTTTATATCCTCCTGAAGCTTAGACCGTAAAAGAACAAGCTCAAAAACTATAAATTCTTTCAGACGAACACTCGCTAGCGAAAATCGACTTTGAATCTCGCGAGGGATAACATTACGGCTCCACTTTCCGCCGATTCTAGGGCACTCGGTACACATGCGCGGTCGACATGCGAAAGTGCGTGACCAGACGTGCTCCATCATCGTCCGGCTGAGCTATATCCGCTCCTTGCGAGATCGTCTCTCTCTCGCGGCTGCCAGTGCCCGTGCCAGCGCATGAAGTTCCAGATACGTAACTTTTTCGATGGCGCGAGACACGCGGAAGGAAGAGACGTCGAGATAGATACGGGGCACGAAGAAGAGTGGAAGAGGAAGGGAGGATAAGATGGAGGAGAAAATGGGCGAGAGAGAGAGAGAGAGAGAGGTGACGAAGGGCGAAGCGCGGGGCGAGATGCGCGGTATTTACGAATCCAGATAAAGAGCCCCGGCAGACACGTAGGAGAGAAGAAATCGGTCGTCGTATATCGTGCCTCGAGCTATCTTACGACGAGACCCGACAGCGAAATTTACTTAGCGCCCTCCCCCTCCCTCGTTTCGCGAGGCTGCGACAGAACACGGTCCACTCGATCGGTCGCGCCGGGCCAATGGACGTTATTCATAGCAGTTTCTTGCGTAAGAATTTCATATAGGATAAAGGTGGGTGATATGGACATAAGCTATTACTATGGAATAAGGGCTCATTTTTTGAACAAAGCACTGCATTCTTGTGACAATCATTGGAAATTGTTGTAGTTGTTATCAAACGTGCATAAACAGCGAACCCGATGTGACAATGATTTTCTTATATTTATTTATTTTTATAACTCCTAGAGATATCACAGGTTTGTCATAATTATATTCTCACAAATTTGAAGTAAATTTAATGTTTATATTCTATAGATGCCCTCAATAATGTTATACGAACAATATTACGTTGTTTTTTTTATTGCGATTCTTGACCTTTCTGATTGACATGGAAATTTTGTTTGTCATACAAGTAATATGAATTACTTACTTCAAGGAGAGAAAATATGGAATAATGTCATAATGTTTGCATATTATAGCGTTTTGTATTTTTTTATGCTTATGTTTATTTTGTATAATAATTTAATAACTTAAAATTAATTTTATTGGTCATAATAATACATTCTATTTTCTATGTGCTATTGTAAAGATATAAACCATATTTAGCTATATTTCGATCAGTTTACATTAAAAAAAAACAAGTTTGCATTTTATTTATTGTTATTATAAATGAATTTGTTGTATTATAAGTAAATTTTTTTTTGGCCCGTATGCCATATCACATCCCATTTTCCCTTCATTTTTATACTTTTTACTTTCTTGTTAATAGTGAAGTTGGATTCAAAATTTATTTGGAGACTGTCATTAATTAAACATTATAGCTAATATGTTTCTTATGAGAGTTCTGCATAAATTAAAAGTTCTAATATACATTTATTTTAAATTAAGGCCCTGCTTAGCCCCGTGTCGGGCACCATATCAACTCCTCAGAACTCTATCGGATATTCTTATGTGGCAGGAATACTTTCAGTGGTTTTGCCTTGCCTTTCCGAGGCGATCGCTTTCCAGAGACCGTGCTCCAATTTGCGCCGTCAAATGCCGTAGAGCACTTGCAGCGTACACTGAGAAAAAAAATTGTTAATTTAAAAAAATATTATTTCATTCAATTAAATGCGGCGGTCACGGGCTGTTAAGCAAACATTTGTTAATTCAACAAAATACTTGTTAATTCACAAAAATATCATGTTAATGATGTTTCGTGTTATTGATGTATGTTTAATTCAAAAATATATATAATTGATTTAAAAAAAACTGTCAATAAAACGCATTTAGTTATTTTAACAACATTTTTTTATCAATGTATTTCAGAGCACCGTATAGTTCTGGATGGTTTTGAACCTGAATCCTCGGCACAGGCCAGCTGCCACGCAGCGCTCTGCGCCACGATCGCCTTTTCAAAGTAATATTAGTGAGCTATAAATATTTCTCATGCCATGCTTTTACCTTACATATTAGATATGTTCGTTCGTATAAATACGAAACTTTTATAAAAGACAAATATTAATATTGTTCTATGTCTCTTATAAAAAAATATATTTGCTTAAACGTGAATCGTGCGATAATGTTGTAAAAGTATATTAATCCTGAAAAACGACTTATAATTAATATGTCCGAATATAAATGAATTTTGCGTATGTTCTCAAGCGATTTTAATCAAATACACATCGATTTTTCATGTATTTTACTAATGCAAATGTAAAAATGAAGAATTGGACAAAATTGGAGAATTTATAAATACCAAGAGTAACTCCCGCATATACAGTTATCGTATTTATTATATTTTATATTTATTATAAATATTTCATTTTTTGGAACGGTATAGTTTTGTTCAAAATTCCCGGCTTAAGCTGAAATACATGCATATCTACGCGAATGCTAGATCGACACATGTTTTGCTTTCACAAAAAAAAAACAAAATAAATTGTTGCCGTTATATTTAAAGCGCAATTTTTTTTCAAATAAACCTTATTGGTTGCGACCAGGGGAATGCAACTGTTCGCAAGCTGTAGACTCCCATCGTTCACGTTCGCACGAACACACAGATCAAATTTACCTCGTATAACAAAAGTAAGTACATCCCATCCGTTCCATATCGTCTTCATCAGAAAACGCAAGGAAGACTGCGCGCCGCTTGGCGCGCATTAAGATTCTTCCTGATGCACACGTTGCAAAAAATGACACGCGTCAAACGCGCGCAACGGTTTGTCGAGTGTGTCCTAATTCTGAGAAGGGAACGAATCATCGGTGCTCGCGCGTGACGATTCGATTACTTAAGGGATTAGGCCACCTTTGAGGCCTTAAAAGATACCTAAGTTTAGGATTTTTTGTGAGTAAATAGATAAACTTTATTAAAAATCTATTTAGAGGACATTATTGTGTATATATAAGAAAGCAAAGAAAATATTTTTTTATTTTTTTAATATCCAAAATGACGGCGCACTGACCTACTTGCAGAATCATTTTTTTTTCTGTATCTTCAAATCGGTGTACAAGATTCCAGGCACATAGTTTGACCTTGATCAAAATACAAAGAATTTTTATTATCTACATATTAAAGACTAATAAAGCACGTAGGGGTTTTTTAAAATATTGATTTTTCTCAAAATGGCAGCTATTTTACGAAAAATGTATATTTTTCGCCAGTATAAGCCTTTCTTAAAATAGCTGCCATTTTGAAAAAAATCAATATTTTGAAAAATCTCTACGTACTTCATTAGTCTTTAATATGTAGATAATGAAAATTCTTTGTGTTTTGTTCAAGGTCAAATCGTGTACCTGGAATCCTGCACACCAATAGAAAAAAAGAGATTTTGCAAGGCCAGTGCGCCGCTATTTTGGACATGAAAAAAATAGAAAGATATTTTTTTAGTTTCTTATATATGTACAATAATGTCCTTTGAACAGATTTTAAACAAAGTTCTCCATTTATTCACAAAGAAATCCCAAATTTTAGGTATCGTTAAATCTCAAAGGTGGCGTGTAACCCCTTAAGGGAATACGATCTCCGTAAATGATTCCAACGGCGAGTCGACGCAGCCGGGATACGTAAGGACGCAATCGCCGCCAGACCTACCCAGTCGTTCGGCTTCCTGATACAATTTGTTGGCGCTCTGGTGACTGGAATTAATCGCTACCGGCAAGTCCTCCGTGGGCCTGCGAAGGAAGGATTCAGATTAAATCGTTTCGAGCGTTTCCCGTCTCACACTTCAGATTATTCAACCGCAATCGAGCGTTATCCAATATTCTCCGAGGAGAATCTCTGTAATTTTAGCGCTCATTGTTTCGACAATTCAAGACTTGTCGTATTAATTGCCTCGTTTAGAATACGCAGTATTTTTTTTTATACCCTTCCATCCACTGTTCGCTCGCTGTCTTAGTTTTCGCTCAAGAGTAACTCGTTACATTATTTTGCATTATAATTAGTATTGTATCATTTCTGCAATACAGCTGAAATGTTACAATTTGCTGCAACATTGCAGTTATAATCTGTGTTTGCTGGAAAGTTACCCGCTTAACAATCACTTATTCTCAATCATGATCTAAAATAACATTCTAAATGTGTTTTTCACTACTTGCATTATATTAACTTATTTCTGAATTGACTGGCATCATTCGCTTATCTATTTGCAATTCTCAATATTATATGACAATATGTCTCCTTCTATAATATAATTTACTTCTACTTTAATTAATTATATTGAAACGTATATAAATATCGTGTATTTCTATGTTAATATTTGGATATAGCTTCAAATCAGCTCCTCAGCTGCTGCCTCGCCTATTGAGTGCAACTGGCACCTCTAAATATATTCAATGTACTTATACTCTCACTATTTGTTTGTAGTCAGATGCAAAAAATTATTATTATTATATAATTGGCATATTTTCTAATCAATCGTAAGATCGAAATTTTAATGGTTATCGCATGAACAAACAATTAATTATAATTAGGCCAGACTAACGAGCTTATTCAAACGAGGATGACAGCGTTTTAGCTCATTAGTCTGGTCTAATTATATAATTTGTTTAATTATTGCATGATTTTTGGAAACGTTATTTCACTATCATTTGAAAAAAAAATACATGTAATAAATAATACAATTAGCGTGTATCGTATTAAAATTATAATTTCTGTCGCTCTGTTCAATAAATCTCTAAGCTGCATGTGGCGTAAAATGCCCGAATTTATCCTGTCTCCCCATATACATTAACAATTACCGAACCGATCGTGAATCTACATGGACGTCTCGGATATTCGTCGGGAATCTCAGAGAAATTTGCATGCTCGGCTGCAATTAATGGCTCGTCGGTATTAATTTGTGAAATATACTTGACAACGGAAGCTTACTCGCGAAGTCTCTCTTCGGGGCTTCGAAGCGCACTGGTTAGATTATTTCGGAAGAGATCTCCGATGGGACGCTGTATTTCTTTCCTTCGCAAGAATGGAATACATGCAAAGGCGAAATGATACCCGAAAAGGCTGGACGCAACATTTCCGTTGAAAACTTAATGTACGCGCCAGACTTAGTCGCGCAATTACCGCGCCGGTGTTAGCTCGGGCGCAATTTCCTTCGGAACATATACGCGGCCGTGTGGACGCGCGCGCGCGCGCACGGGCGCGCGTTTGGAATAGCAAATTCGTGGCTTCCTGGTTACAGGACGGCTTGTAGCCGACCGGCGCGCGCGGGCGAATATTTTACATGATGTAACAGCCATCTGCTACTCCCGACCGACGCTCAATTAGGATTCTGCCAAACGTTGGAGGCCGGATTTTACGGTCGTCCAGACAGCTGTGTGTAATACGCGTAGCCACACACGTAATCGTGTCGAAACTGTAAATTCTGCTTATCGTATATACATATACATATGCATATTCGCATTTCGACGAATCTTTCGTTATCGTATATGTGGCAATCTCGTTTAAACGAGAAGATTCGCAATTGACATTATATATAGTCTCGACGCGCGTCCAGATTTTTATACCGCGAGAAAACAAACTTCATTCACTCGCAGCGATGGAATCATCAGAATTAACGAATAACGCATTCTCTTGTATTTTTAATTTAGCTTTAATCTATATATCACTGTTTAATATTTTTAAACGTTATCTTCATAATTAAATGGACAGATATTTTTTCTTATTAAAGAAGAAATTGTATTCTTTCGTACATCTACACTTCTCAACAAAATTGAAGCATCACTTACTCTACCCTCCAAAAATAGGCAAAATTTAAGAGAATATGTAACTTTGTCAAAAATGATCGTATCGAGATGTTCAAAAAAGCATTTTACAGCTTGAAATTTCTACTCTTCAAATCGGTACTTTAGAAAACGATTCTACTGATTTTTCATGGAATTACACGGATAGAAAAGGAGACCCGACGAATCTTAAAATTTTTTACGAACTTTGACAAGTTCCATGGCATGAATTAAAAATTGCATGCAAATGCAGTTTACAGCTTTCGAAAGAGTGAATCTTTACCTTTAATTTCCTTTTTTGTTGAGCGTTGTATGATTTTTTTTTACCGAGTTATTCAACATTAAAGCAAAAATGGTCCTTTTTGCTTTAATGTTGAATAACTCGTTGAAAAAAAATCGTACAACGCTCAACATAAAAGCAAATTAAAGGTAAAGATTCACTCTTTCGAAAGCAGTAAACTGCATTTGTGTGCGATTTTTAGTTTATGCCGTGAAAAGATCGGAAGAGCACACGTCTGAACTCCAG